GGGTTCCGGCCCCCGGAGCGCAGGGCCTCTGGGGAGAGCCGAGAAGCCCCAGTACCTGAAGCTAGCGGAAAGGGGTGGCAGTGGGGGTGGGGTGTAAGGGCCTCACCTCACCCCGATCGCCGGGACTACGCGGCCAAAGGTGACCCCACTCCGATGCACACTGGGGTCTTTTCGTGCTGGAAATGGGGAGTCTCTGCTTAAGGACAAGATGGTGCAGGCTGGATGAGAACATCCATCCGAAATGGAGGTGGCTCGTGAATCCACACGGAAAGTTTTAAAATATCCTGGAGTGTGTCCATGCCCAAAATAATCAAAAGCATCTCAAGTTGATTACTAAGTCAAGGTCAAGGCCAAAATCAGCTCCAGCTAGAAGATCCCTTTTAAAATGTAGCCCTAACGCCGACTGCGGGACTGGTGTTAGGTGCGATTTTATTTATTGTCTTAGTTCTTAGCAGTTATAAAAACAGCCCTTCCCAAAGCAGAAGTGAAACATCTCTACCGTTTGAAACCCGAAACTTCGGGCAGAATCAAATCTTCGTGTTGCAGGGCTGCTTATAAGAACTGATGTAAAAGACAGGCGGGCAAGTGCCCTGCCAGCGGTGCCCAGCCCCGTGGCCCCTGCTCCTAGGACCTGCGCCTGCAGGGTGGAACGCACGCTTTTCCCCTCGTCTTTCTGGGGGTGGATGTCTCTGGAAGCTAACCCACACATTTTTTTAATCTCCGGTAACAAGCAGAAAGACACCTGGACTATTATGCTGTAAAGCTATTTTTTATAAAGACGTTTTAGGGCCAGACATTAAAAGTTATTAGACCGAATGCATGCGAGTTACAGACGCAGCTGGAGAAAGGCCTCTGGTTGTGTGTTGGAGCAACATTTCTTTTTGAAGCGACTCCTTTTATTCAAAACAAATCTAAAACGACCGAGAGTTTCCCCACAAGCGCCCAACACGGTTCCAGGCAGAGAGGCCGCTGAGCCGCTGTGGGCCGGTCTGGCGAGCTGGCCTGGCGATTGGGGAGCGTTGCCAGGCTCTTCCGGCTCGGTTAGGCGGCCGCAGGGACGCTGGCCACGTGCCCAACCCTCTTTGCTCCCCTTCCCTTGCCTTCCCGACTCTCCCCCAAGGCACAGGCTTTTCCCGGAGTTAAGAACTGCAAGTAACCGGCCAGAATTTTTGGAAAATCCCGGAACCAAGCGAGAGGATGGAGCCTGCTGCCTCTAGGAGTCCGCGGCCCCCCAGGGCTGCTGACAAAGGGGCCTGTTTGTCTAACTTTAAAAGTCTGAGGGTTGAAATGAATGGGGGGGGTCGCTGTAAATGTGGAGGGGCCTCCAAGAGGGCTGACTGTGGGAGAAATTTGATGCTGAAGACAAACAAACCAGTAAATTCGCCTTTGACGTAATTTGCCGCATTTCATACCCCCCTTTTATCAGGAGTCTCGCCTCCAAGGTATCCTCATTTGGGCTGGTGGGATTAAAGGGGTTCTCTTCCATCTCTACGGGCACATTTTCCAACTCTGTGGGATTTAAAAAATATCTTATTAAGGGAGTCCTAAGAGGCATAAGTGTGTGTGGGGGGGGGGCAGGGAGGTGTTCATGACTCACTGAGAATTAAAATGTGAGGTTTTCCTGAGGTGCTCCAAGCCAGAAGGGGGTGGGTAGGGAGTGCATCCCTATTGGCCCGGTTAGTTGGAAGTGTTCCAGGGAGGAGAAGCAGGAAAGCTCAAGGGCAGCCCCATCGTGGGTTCCCACGCAAGAAGGGGCTCCAGGAGCTGGGGACACACGGAGCCTGCAGCGTGTGTGCGGGCAGCCGGGGCCTTCAGCCTGCTCCCTCCCACCAGCCCCTTGGGAGCTGACGCGGGGTCAGGCCGCTAGACCAGGCACTCCGTCAGGGGAGGGTTTCAATGAAAGCAGAGCAGGCGGAGAGCAAGTGAGTGAGTGCGAGGGAGGGAGGGAGGGTGCAGGGCAGTGGAGAAACAGAAGAGGCGCTTCTAATTGAGCTGCGAAGGGCCGCCCCTCCCCTCTCCCCTCCGGAGGGTCTCCTGGTGCGAACATATGCCTGGACCTCCAGCTCCCAGGCACTCTCCTGCTACAGGTTCTATCCAGGCTCTGCAACTGGGCGAGCAGGTTGGGGCTTCGGGGAACAGGCCTGGAGCCTGGCCACTCTTTTCAGGCCAGACTAACTGCAGGGTGGCCCAGGGCCCCCTCCTCACCTTCAACCATGGCCCAGGCCTAGGGCAAAAGGCCAGGCACCCCATGGTGAGGTTCTTACTGGTGTCTGGAGGGTCCTGGGATCCCAATATTGGGGGGGGGGGTCGTTTGTAACACATGCTTAGAATCTAAGTCATAAAGCTCTGCAGGGCCCGATGGCTCTCTTCAGAGGCGGTTCTCAAGTTGATGACACTGGTCATTGGAATAAATGGGAGTTGGGTGATTTCAGATCATGTATTTTTACTTTACAGTGTGAGCCAGCCTGTTAATGTTAACCATTTACACACACACACACACACACACACACACAGTCTTCTTGGTCACTTTGTAAAAAAACTCAGGGCTCACCCAGGGGCCCTTAAAACAGCCACTAGCCCACCCTCCCAAGCACAGGGCATCCCTGTCCTAGGAATTTGCTAGAGAGAAACTGAAGGTAGCTGCCTTCCATGGGGGAAGCCTTTGAAGAGTTATTGGGCCTTTGGGGTAGGAGGGCCCCAAAGGCCAGCCCCACATGGTAGCAGCAAGCAGCTGGCTCTGGGAATTTCTGGTTTGGGCTGGATTAGTGTCAGGCTCTGAGATCCCCAACCCCAGGGACAGTGGGTGAACTGCCACTGCCACTGGGGGGCCCGCTGGGTAGATAGGTGGGTGTCAGCCGAATCAGCATAAAGGCAGTCGCTGGGGGGGGGGGGCTGTCTTGCACTCCACCTGGTCCCACCTTAAGAGCCCTCAGGCCCAGGTGTTGGGCTGAAGCTCCAGCAGGTAAACCCGGCCGCCATGTCCTGCCCAGGCTGCTAATGTAGCAAGGGCCTCCAGCTCAGATTTTACCCGCTGGGGGTAGTGCCAGGACTAACCGCAGGGATGGGGGGGCGGAGAACCATCAACTACTGGGCCACCAGCCCAGCGCCCCAGCCTCCAGCCCCAGGCATTTTGGATCAAGGCTTCCTCCCTCACTCCTGTGGGACCCCTGCGGATACCCACCACCCCTGGGACTGGAAGGATCTGGAAGGCCCCGTCAGCCCCTCCCTGGCCCGTACACCCTTCCTGCCCCCAGGGAGGGGCCGAGTTGGAGTGGCGCAGAGGTGAGTGGCGTAGGGAGGGTTGCCTCGGGAAGGTCGAAGCCAGGAGCAAAGCTGGGGGGTGGCACAGAGCTGGAGAGTTCACGCGGCCTAATCCACGGCGCTTTGACCCGCTCCCACTCCCCTCCCCCCACAGTGCTCAGTCTTGCCCCCCCATGACACCTCCCCTATCCCTGCGTCTCCAGCCGGTTAGCAGCCGGCAGCCCCCAGCCACGAATGAGGGGGGTGGGGGAACGCAGGGTGTTTTGTGTTGCGAGGCCTGACAGAACCTTCTGTGTGCGGCAGAGGGAGGAGGCGAATGCATAATGCACAGCGCCTGGAAGCCCGGCCATTAGCGGCCTGTCGGTGACACAGATAAACGACTGAGAGGGAGGAGATCGGCTCTGGAGTTTAAATATACCAGCGGAGGGGAAACGCCATGATTTAAAAGTGTGTTTGCAGACACTCGCATATATTTTAATGATTTCCAGCAGGCCCTGCGTCCTGGCCTTGCACCCCCCTCCCCAAAAGGGGGATCTGTAAGGGGGGGAATGAAAGCAAAGCGAGAGGCCTCCATCGGAGACTCACGCCAGCGTTTGCGAGATGAAGGGGAAGAGAGGTTGGGAAACACAGCCCCGAAAGTGAGGCCTAGGGAAGCCACATGACCCAAGGCCCTCCCCAGAATTCCCCCCCCCCCAATCTGGCCATGGAACCTTCCACCCCTACTGGCCCCCTCTACGTTGTACTGGGAAGGCCCGGGGGAAAGGCTAAATCCTGCCAACCTTGCTGTTCCCAGGCGCCCACATTCTGGAATCTTCCTTTCCCCCTGGCGATCAGACCTCTTTCCTCCAGGTTGAACACACCAGTGCTTTTTAGCAATTAAGGCGAGAAGGGGGTGGGGCTGAAGATAAGCCAATTTTTTTCCGTCGCGCAAGTGTGAAAGATAAGATAACGTTAAGCTGGGGCAAAGCGGCTGCTTACAACCTCCCCTCAGCGATTTTGATCGGTCACTTCTTATCTCGCCAAAATGCTCCTTTGGAAAACTGCATCAAAAAAAAAAAAAAAGAAAGAAAGAAAGAAAGAAAAAGGCTAAAGGGAAGCATTTTCATTGGGAAGTGACATTCAAAAAAAAAAAAAGAAAGAAAGAAAGAAAGAAAAAGGCTAAAGGGAAGCATTTTCATTGGGAAGTGACATTTAAAACCCGCCTCTTCTAGGCCAGCAACCCCCTCCCCATTGGCAGGGCTCCCCAGGAAAAGTCGCACCTCAACTCCAGGGTTTCAGGATTGGGGGGGGGGGGGGCAGGATTACTAGTGTAATTAGGCCGAATAAAACCAGAGATGCGTGAGGAGGGCTCATCTGCATCCAACCCCAAGCTCGAAGCCGGGTTTTCCTTCTTAGTTACTGGTGGGTGTTTGTGTCCGACCACCGCGCTGGTGTGTTGAAACTATAGTTATATCTGGGAGGGTCGTATAACTGTGTCAACACGAAGTGGTTGTTAAGGCGAAATAAGAAACTGCTGATTTTTACGGGCCCCTGGAAAGGAAGGACAAGGCATCGCACGCCCCAAACCCACGAATCCTCAGCTGGACTCTCGGGAGTTTTATAAAAATCCTTTTTTCCACACAAAAATCTCACGAAGGGGTTTCCGGAAGACTTTGTTTTGAGAGCGGTTTCGGTATTGAACTCCAGGCCCCCAGGGCAGCCTGGAAACTCACCCCAGCCCAGCCCGGCCGCCGGCCCCAGATTCCAAACATCAAGGCGGGAGCCCCAGGCCCAGTGGACAAGCCTCTGCGCCCACGTCCGGCTCGGAGCCCCAAGCTCCCACCTTCTCATCCCCCATCCCGGGTTCGCACCTCC